AGCGAATGTCAGATAGTGGTTTAATTTCTGTTCTCTGTGATCATTCGGGGCTAATAATGCATGCATTAATTCATGCCTTTATTACTGATCAATTCTCTCATTAATGCCACACTCTGTAGTCTCATTATCAGTTTTTTATCTGGGACACACATAAATGAAGTTTGCTCTCAAATCCTTAGATGATTTATCGTGTTCAAATCTCTCAGGATTCCATAATGAAATCAGTGCTTTTCTTCCTTTACCCAGAATACATATCTGAAAATGTGTGCTTTTTAAAGGCAGAGAATAGGTCTCATAGTAACCTTAATCATGCACAAAGCATTTGAATTTCAACCAGGTTTAATGTCCTTGAAATTCCGAGTATGCAGCTTGACACTAGCATGGGGGTTGCTTGCCAGATACTCATTCTACTCATGATCTCCAGCTTGGAGTTGCCACTTCCTTTGTTTTTGTTCAATCATTCCTCAGATATTGACAGTAGATCAGAGTTCATTAAGCAGCCTGCACTACCAAGCTATCATTGATTAGCTAAGTGATTTGTTATCTTAAGTATCAGCTTCTCAATGGTCAGTCAGAGATACTGCTGTCCCGTCCATGCTCCTCTCACGGTATCTTATGACCTCATTCAGATAATTACCTTCTCAAACGTTCGTAATTACATTGACAGGGGAAACTCTATAGAGGCTTGTGAATCCTATTGTTGTTGGTTTTGGCTAAGCCAAATATTAATTAAAAGTTCTCTAGTTACTAAAAATAAAGTGTTTTTGTATGTTGATTTTATGTTGAGTTTAGTGCTGTGGGGTTTTTGAACATTTGAACATTTTGTATCTCGATTGAGCTCTCTAATATGTAAAGTGACTGAGTGTGTGTCAGGTCTACCTGTTGGCCGAACAATGCCGTTCTTTCCAGGCCATTCATTTCCATAACGATTAAAGAGGAACACGTTACTAAAATACTCTGAAAATGTTTCCTCCACTACTGTTCAGCATCACTGCAATGCCGCTACTGAATCACGCTGATCAGTGTAGTCTGATTCCTGAGCCAGTTCTTTTAGCAAATCAAACGCATACAGCACAGCCAATACATCTCATCTGAAGTGAATGACTCTAATGAATCAATTCTTTTTAGTGAATAAAATGCATACAGCACAACCAGTATATCTTATCCCTGAACATAAATTCACCAAACAATGGTAAATGTGACTGCACCATTTTGAATTGATTATTTTTAATGAATCAAACGCATACAGCTTACGCTCTGTTACTGTGTTGTGTTGTTAGGCTTATGGTACTTAAACCTTGTTCAGATTGTCAGTCCAAATCCGATTTTTGTGCATATCCAATTGGAATCCGATCATATTTCGCTTGCCTGAACGGCAAAAAATTACATGAAATCTGATTTTTAACACATCTGTTTCAAGACCCATTCATATGTGATTTGAAATCTTATTCAAATAGCTTTTTTTTTTTGGAAATCTGTTTCAGTCTGACCACTCAGATCAGAATTAGCATGGCATCATTTTCTCACGCCATGTAAAATGTAAAAATGTGAGATGTTGTTTGTAGAAAACATGCTGAATGTCTTTGCAGAAACAAGGTTGTGTTGTTGCAACGTGAAAGTCAAATGACAATATAGTGCTTGCCTACAAACCTCTGAGTTTTGAGACCGATGGAGACGGCAGCACAGAATAAAACCGCGCATTCCAGCTTCCTACGTTTCTGCCGCTGCCTCATAAGATCTATTATAGTCCAGTGTGACTGCAACATGTTGCCATGTTGTAAGACAACATTAGTATTGCAAACTGTATTACTGTTACTGTTGTTTTTAGCGTAGGCATACCAACGCAACGTCATTGCCATAGAAACCAATGCAGATATTCAGTAAAACGAAAAAAAACGCCACAGACACAAATCGGATCTGAACAGATGTGATACACAGTGTGGACAGTCAATCATTTAAATCAGATTCCAATCAGATATGCAGAAAAATCGGATTTGAACTGACAGTCTGAAAAAGGCTTTATAATTACTGACTGGTTGTTCATTTGATAAGGTCTAAATAACCCACAAAACATTTGCCGTAATTAAAAAGTAGAATGGTGTATGTTATATCTGTTATATCCTTGCTTGTATTTACTTCACCCCCTCTGCATCTGTTTAGCTTGCTGTCCCCTGAAACTCTATAGCTCAGAGTTTCTAATTATGCTAATTAAATGTGTGAGGCCTGGCACATACTCGTAAATGATTAATTGTAGCAAGACAATAGAATCACTGATACCAACTTATGTATAGACTCTTGAAGTTTAAGCTATCCTGTTCCGTCTGCCTTCATTCCCCATTTGGCCTATTTTCATTTTCTCTCTTTTTCTTCTCCTTCATGTAAATCTATTGTTGGGCGTAATTTGCTGCATTGGGTATTTTGAACTATTAGCGTGTGGGGCGGCCTTGTTCATACTTCAATAGCAGGAATTCTAGAAATGTCCTGGAAAGATAGTTAGCCCTGATAAAACGTCACAAGTCATTTCACTATAGAAATAGACCCACAATGGATGTAGTTGTGTGTGTACATGTACATGTGTGCGTTTTGGACAGCAAGGCCAAGCTTTGACAAATGAGAGCTGGCTGCTTTGCATTGTGTAACTCAATTGTCGATTAGCCAAAGGAAAATGAGAAGGGTTTTTTTGAATAAAGAAATTGAGGCTTGATGTCTTAACGCTGCGGTGCTGAAAAGCTCAACTGACGCTGATTTGTTTATGTTTGCACTGTGACTGTAACATTTCCACTAAAGTTTCAAAGCAAATGTTCTCAGCTTGTTAACACTCAGGCAGAGAGATACTACTCATTCTTATATTGAGTTTCATGCTATTGAAACCATTGACCACTGTGGAAAGAAACGCATGACAACACCGGCCTTGTAATTTCCCAGGTTTTTCAGCCGTTCTTTTGTGCAAATACAACAGATCACTGTACAGGTAATTCAAAAGGTATGAAAAGCATCCTGTGCCATTTCATAAATTCTGGTTTTCCATTATTGACCTTTATGTTCTGTTGAGAAATGCTTTGCTTTGTTCTGTTATGCTGTTCAATATTCTTGATCTGTTCCTCTGGCTTAATCAAAACCCAGTATAAGTATTACTGTAGTTTTAAAGGGTTCACCCAAAAAAAAAATTCTCTCAATATTTGTTTAACCTCAAGTTGTTTCAATCCTATATGCATTTCTTTCTACTGCAGAACACAAAATAAGATTTAATTTTGACAGTCATTGGGTTCCAATGTTGTTTTGAACCCCACTGACTTTCCTTGTATGGACAAAACAGTGTAAAAATTTTTTTAAATATATTCTCATTGAGATTCACAGAAGAAGGAAAGTCAGCTTGGAATAGTGATGCAACAATACAGTTAGCCCGCGGTTCAATACATAGGCTACCTCGGTTTTCAGTTCGGTTCTGATGGCTTGGCACATCAGAGTGTTTTGTGCGATTTAATGTGAAATTTAAAACAAATAAACAACAAAAAACTCCTGTACACTGGAAAAATACATGTATTATCATATGTCTACTTAAAATTTATTTTGAGAGAAGTATTGTTTTTCCTATTTATTCCCAAAATAGGATGGATTGGCCTTTTATGGAGCGCTGTCAACACATGTAACATTGTTTAATTCATACTGGAAGCCGGAGGGTGCCCTCACTCAGGAAATCCACATATGCATCACAGAAGCAATAGAATGCATGACACTCCAGGAAATCCCTAATATGGACAAAGGCATCCAGCTATCGCGTATTGAACCATGGATGACGTACCCATCGGTTCAATATTATATTGAGAATTGTGGCATCCCTAATTTGGAACAACACAAGGATTTTAGGGCATTTTTAATGGAGGAAAATTTAAGTGTGTATAGACTTGATTCACCAATTATACCTTTTTTTATTTTTTTTGAGCTATTAAAACGGTGTTGGTGTCTCTCAAACCAGTAAAAGATACACACAATCATACATGTATCATTTGTCCATTGAAATCCCTTTTTTCAGACTGTACTATTACGTTAGGCTATTACAGACAATACTATGGTGACAGTTCTCCAGAGCTTCTATGTGCCTCTGAAGTGCAGAGGTAATTTTCCACATAGATTGCATTGCACTTTCATTTGAGTGACATTTGTGTTTCCATCACATCTTCTCTCTTTCTGCCGTCTTTTTTTTTCAAGAGGGCAGGAGTTCTGAAAAAATACAACACCTGTCTTTTTACAGGCATTCAATTTAAAAGTCCATCTCTACTTGTAGTAACTTCCTCAAGTGCACAGATATGCAGCCGCACTCATAAGTTCTATTAAAAAAACTATTGGTGGTACCTTTACTGTAGCTCCATACACTATAACATAGTGCTTGCTATGTAAAAATCCCATTCATAGGATATTATTATTTGAATGATAACTTAGAAACTTGTAAAGACAGACCAACTGTGAGCTACAAGGTTGTTAATCAGTGCTATATGCTTTTTTTAAAGCCATCAGCCCACATTATTTAAACTTTTTAAATTTTGTATTAATATATATACTTGTATATATATTAATGTATATACTTGGTGTGTAGCACATTTCAAACATTTATTTCGGTTAGGATGCTGCCTGTGGCAGTAGACAGCAGGGCAGCTCTCTAGGTTTTTAAACAGAGCTTCCCACTCACATGCGCTCCAGCCCCCTCCCCATTTCTGGCTCTCTGTGAAAGCCTTTTGTTAGATGTCCAGGCAGTTCAGTCCTTGGTCCCGTGTCTTTGATGACAGTTCTGTGACACACCACACCGAATGGACCATTAGGGCTGACTGGCACAAATTCTATTGGTGGATTACTTAATTACTGATCTTAATCTCTGGGGTTATGATAGAGATGTTTTCGAGTCCATCAGAGTTTTATTCACTAAGTGAATGTAACCAGAAATGTGCATCCAGCTAGATCTTCCGTCACCTCACCTGACTCTTTTTTGCATGTTCCTGTCATAGTGCCGGAGCTCCACTACCATGACGACTGTGGCCAAAGCTTTCATCGGGCTCTTCTGGCTCCTGCGGTTGGTGTGTGCGGTCTTCCCTGAGGAACCTGGACCTCTGAACTTTATCCCCACTGAAGGTAACGATGTCTCCATTTCACATGCAGTCATCAGGATCAGGGTTGGGCCCCGTCTACCCTCTCAGGCTCTCAGCTTTCACTTTCTAATGCAGAGCAGGCATGTGATTGATCACTCATCAATAATATCGATTCCATGCATCCCAGCCTAACTCATGCAGGTCTGTCTAAGCTGAAAGATGAGAAAAGCGAGGGGGTTTATAATGCTCAGGGTAGGAGGATGAAGAGACGAGGAGCTGCGGAAATCTCTTGGGAGAGTCTTATCACATATTGAAAGAAAGGAACAGATAAAGAAGGAGAGTAATAAACGGGTGTAAAGTTGTGTAATTGTACCTCATTAACGTAGTGCTATGTTTGGAACATTTTGGATTTTGTTTGCAAAATTTCACTAAGCAATGGTAAATGTGACTGCAGGGGTTTTCAAACTTTAGAATTCTCTAAAAGTCCTAAAAGATAAATGTAGGCTGCTGTATATTTTCTTGTGAAGAAAGAATAATTAAATTGTAATTATGTAAATGTTGGTCAAATGTATTGATTTATTTGTTCATTTATTTATTTATATTTTTTATTATGATCTTTTTAAAAAAAAAATTATTTAATGTCATTTTTTAAAATAGTATTTTACTTTATTTTACATTGTTTTATTTATTTTTATTTGATCCCTTTTCTTGCCTTGATGCTTTCCTATGTACAGATACAACTTTAAATATCAAACGACTATAAAACCAGATAGTTGTTTGTTACTTGAAATGTTTAAATTTACCAAATTATCAATGTCAGGTAACAGGTTTCAGGGTAAGTGTCATTTCTCAGTACAATTTTACACCTCTGGTAACAACACTACTTGACTAGGCTGACAGATCACGAGAACAGACTTTATCTGTGAAAACCACTGAAGAGCAACTACAGGCAGCTGTCAACATTTTCATCTCAAATGTGACTCGCGAGTGATCGAACGCCTCTCGCCTTAACGGATCACCTCACCCACACCCAGAAGTGCAATGAAGAGATGATACAACCCTCTGTCAACTCTTTCCCTTTATCACTCACCGTCTCATCTACTGCTTTTTCCCTCAGTGGTGAGAAGGTATCCTGTGTTTCTCGGACGACCCCATCGCTCATCTCTCAGACAGGAGCCCTTACACATTCAGAGGATCCTGCAGGTCAATCGTACCCTTTACATCGGAGCCAGGTAGAGTGTGAAATAATGCTGATTACCATGTGCGTACCCTGTAATTAGTGTTATATCAGCATCTGTAATTACCTGCACAGAGACGTGTGTTTAAGTAAATTATACGACATTCAAAAACAATCTCTTTTGAGATCAAGAGTCTGAATTTCTGCTTCTTGTAGGTAGTAATTAAACAGCTTTCAAAGTCTTTTAAAGGGAAAATTCACCCAAAAAATAAGTATTCTGTCATCATTTACTCAACTTCGTGTTACAAACTTGTATGGCTTTCGGTCTTCTGTGGAACATAGATATTTTGACATTGTTTTTGACCCATTGACCCATTGACTGTTTAAAAAAAAATAATAATAATTGTTGGCGTTAAAACAGTTGCAACAGTCTTCCAAATATCAATGTTAATTGTAATAATGTTAATTTTTGTAGTATTTATTTATTTGTTTGTTTATATATTTATTCATTTTTAATTCACATTTTTTATTTTAATTTACTCTTATTTAATTGTACATTATTTTGTTTGATTTTATCCCTGATCTTGCCTTGATGCTTTCCTCCTTCTGGATACAACTACATTCAAATACCAACAGATTTATTTGTAATATCAAGTTATTATGAAGATAGTTACTTGATAATTTGATTGATTTTAAGTTTAAACATTTCAAGTAACAATTAACATATCTTTTTCAAATTTTTTTTTTTTGATCCGCAGAAGAAACTCATACAGGTTTAGAATGACATGATGATAAATGTAAATGTTGACTATTGTAAATGTCGAACTGTCCCTGTAAGAAGCATGCTGAATTTCTCATTGTGGTGATGCTGGGTTATAAATGTAAAGTCTGGACACCTGTAGTCTTTTTAGGATTTTGGGGGTCACGAGGTCAATGATGTTTTTGCTTTCTTGCATTTTTTGCCTACCTCAAGGAGCCGGGGTTAGGAATAGATAAACAAAAACAAAACTTCATTAGGTTTGGTGCTTTAAAAAAAATAAGCCAATTTTTGTGAATTTACGCAACATACTTCCCAAAATTGACCGACACGTCCACTGGGAGTGTTCAAACATATGGTGATAGTTACCAAAAGCTGTAGGGGTCCAGAGGGGAGGCGTCGTACTCTAATAAAGGCCTTCATACCGTGTCAGGAAATGACCTGCCCGCTCGACCATGTCACAAATTAAACCTCGAAAATAAATATATTTCACAAAGTGCCATATGACTTGGGACGGCCAGACTGGGCTCTCTCATAAAAAAGGACTAAAGTCTTTGGCCTAAAGAAGCTCAACTCAGTACCGAGCGACTGTTTTATGTGTGTTTTCCTACGTGGTGCCACTGTGGCCGACGTAATTCGATGAAATTCAAGCCCCGCTGTGTGCAGTCAGCAAACTGTATGTACCTATCAGTGTCTGAAGTAAATGGAGGTGTTTGCCGTAGCCAACAGAAAATGACCTCTGTGGAAAAGGAGATTTATTTAGCTGATGACTCAAGAGGGAGCATTCAATAACAACGGCAACACCGAGTGAAATAAAAAGGAGGCAATACTGCTTAGGAGCAAGGGAGAGAGAGAGTCAGTGAAGTTTCAAGTCAAGGATATAGACAGCCTGGATTGACTGAATAAAGTCTGCAACTGCATGCTCAAGTGTGATAAAGGGGTGCAGGCGGGCTAAATCCTGTTAGCATTAGCATAACCGCTCAAGACCATGCCCCAAGAAAGCGGCCAGCCTCTCAACCCCTTCACAGTATTACCTTGCCAACACCTGGTCAGGGATGAGAGGACTCAAGTATTTTATTAAACGCACTCAGTTTCCTCCAGAAATTTCTGGACTCCCACACAAGCGACTGCAAACTAGCCCCAGACTTGTTGGGGGGAAAAAATCAGTCCAAGCCATAAATAAATACACCTATAAGACAAATGAGGTGTTTCTTTTGTGATCTGTGTAAATAATTAACACACTGAGTAACTAGAGGAGGGTGGCTTAGATTGCCAGCGGCGACCTGGTTAAGTCACATTAAATCAAGCTTCAGCCAGCTCATAGTATTTGACCTCGTCGAGAGGTCAAGTCTTTCAATTAGGCTCAGGAGTGAAACTCAACACATTCCACCCTCGAACCTGTCACTAACAGTGTGGGACAGGTTCCGGCTGACCTCTGAGGTCGTGGAAATACCGCCTGACTGACATACGGCCTCCAATAATGCAGAGAAATTAAGACTCAGCTGCTGTCAGGGCTGCTGTGGTATGCGGGAAGAACGGTTTGAGACCTCCTGTAGTGCCACAATTGACAAATACACTTTCTCTTTTAGCTGTCGCCTTCATAGCTGATTTTAAATATAGTCAGCCCCCCATGAGGGATCCTGAGTCTGTCAGGTCCCTTTTCTGCTTGTCAGTATGGTCATAAATTTGTAGCACTGAATTGAGGGCATGGTATTGTAACAAACACACTGTACTGCATAATATATTCCTCAGCATTCCTGCATGTGCTGATAAAATATACAATGAATGCAATGTGAGTCGCTTTGGATAAGTGTCTGCCAAATGCATAAGTGTAATGCAATGTAATAATACAGTAATGGTGGCCAGAGGCACTCCATCATTCAGACATTCTACCAATCTAGAGAGAAGCAAGAAATATAGAGAGAAATCAGATAGTGAAAGTTAGAATGTTACAATCCATTACGATGTGGCATTGCCATGTGATTGCTAAGATGTACTCTATGGTTGCTTACTGGCTAAAGTCAAAAGAATCTATGCCAGGTTTCTGATATTTTGGTCTCTAGATATGACTTGGGTTTTATATTTTATCTGCCAGTTGAAAATTGCAATTCAGATCTCTTGGAAAGTTAAAAAAGCAGATAAGTAGAAAACAGTTTGGTGAATGTGTTGTAGTTTATTGCTAGGGTTGTGCAAAATTCACCATCCATCCATCCATCTTCAAACAAGGCTTTAGGCCTACATTGCTTTTCATACGTACATTGCATTTCTTGATAAAAAATATTTAATTTAATTCTGCATCCTGTTTGTTTCAGGAATTGAACTGGAATTTAAAATACATTTTCACTCCAAATCAGAAGGGAGCACAACCTTTGGTTTAATGCGCATTTCATCTTACTGAATAAAAATGAATCCACCTTAAGCAAGTATAGTATTTATGGACATTATTTACATTATTTACATCTTGGTTTTTCCATCCAGCATTTCTAAATTCTCATAACAATATGTAGATGGAAACTATGCAAGATGAGTTACATGGTAAAATCTAGCAAGAAGATAAAAACTTCAGTTTGTGTACAAGATAGTGGAGGTACTGATAAAGAGAGTTTTTACTGGCCCCTGTATGTTCTATTCTTGCCAATGTTCTGCATGTGTTGTCCAAATAATCTGTGTTGTTTGGTAACCTTGTGTAACTATAAAGCCCGTTTTTATATTCATATAAATGTGACAGTACCTTCGAACTCCAAACACACCTTTTCTTGCTTTGCTTTACTGCATGGGTGATTGTATCTGCTTATAGATTGTGCTCTCTAAATAAGGCAAGTACTGTGTGAGAGTATAATAATTTAACCAGGGCAATTAGGGGTCGCCCTGTTCAGAGAGGAAATGGCCAAGGGGATTCATTTTAACAAACCACACAGAGAGGGATTAAATAATTCATAGTCGGTCTCGTCAGACTCTCTTCAAGAACATACAAACACACACACACACACACATAGTCTATGTTTTTGTTGATGTGTCCACAGAGCAGTGATGCCGATGGAAGGCTGTGAAAGATAAGATCAATACTACTGCAATAACATGGGCTGGTCTGTGAGCTTGGCAAATTCACAGATTGCAACATTTCAGACAGAAAAGAGAGAGAGAGAGACACACACACACACACACACACACACACACACAGATGATTTGAAATTCTCCAGCTCTCTTGTTGGGCCGCACAGCAGCTTTTAGACCTTGATCAATATTCAGGCATAAACCATGGTACTCTATAACACCAAACACGCCATGATTAAAAGGGATCAGATTCATAAAGACTTTAATAGACACCGCAAGGTTATAGAAAGATTATTAAAGTGGTTGCAGGAAGTGCTGTAGCACTGGATGCTGTCTTCAAGATGAGGAGCTGCATGCAACATGCATGCAGTGTGGGGGTGGGTTATGAATTATGGAGGGGAAATCAGGCATATCATAATGCAAAGAATCGTGATTATGTAGGACGAGCTGTGGTGAATCGTTTAACTGAGTTTTTGCACTGAGACGGCGGATCAGGGTGAATTAATGTAGGAACAAGAATGCTATATCAATTTGTTAAACATTTGATGAAGACATATGCTTCAGTATGTAAGGCTGAGGACTTTGACTCTTTAAGAGACTTTTCTTTTTTTAAGCATGGACCTAATTAAATGTTTTCATTTGATCATTTTTTTAAGTGTAAGTCTATTTGCGTTATATGTTGTAATAATACATTTATTTTGTTTTAAAGATATTTAGATGATTAAAACATTTCTGATAAAGAAAATAATTATTTTGCTGTGATGTGATACTGTGCTGTGGTGGTTCACAGTCTCGCTCTGTCTTTCTCTTTGTGCTTATGTGTCAGAGATGACCTTTTCCGAGTGGAGCTGGACAACGTGGTGGGAGAAGAGATGTTTTACAGTAAGGTGAGAACAGAAAACACACACACGTACTTTATGCTGTAAATGAACAGTCCCTCATTACTGAAGTTCCCTCTGTTACAGAAGAGGACATGGGAATCCAACAAAAATGACATCAGAATCTGTAGAATGAAGGGAAAGCATGAGGTGAGTGGATGTTGTCACAAACTAATGCACATATTTACTTGGTTAAGTAAATGAGTTTGCATGCGAGTGTGAATTATTTTTAACCCATATTTTTATACATTACATTTTATTTAAAGGCAATTATTATTGCTGTATATTAGCTCTAAAAGAAAGCCTTTTTTCTGAATTAAACTAAACAAAAATTTTTTATAGTTAACACCCCACCCACACACACACAATATTTTTTTCTTAATTAACAAATTTTTTTTCCACTAATTGTTTTTATTTTTTATGTTTTTATTTTACATTTCCATTATTTAGACATTTCTTAATATGCTTAGTGGGCTGTTTTCATTGAGGGTCCCTGCAATGGAGGCAAAACCTGACCCATACAAACACACACTCATATCACAAACACACTGTTAAACATTTCCATTTATTCACTTTAAACACTTTTATATGTGCGTGTCACATTATTTGTGCCCCTGCTCACACTTTAAGGTGTCATCACAAGAGCTACCTGTGGCAAATTTTCAGGAAATCTGTTAGAATTTTTTTGTGCTGTGCGCCCCTGCAAAAATATAGAGGGGTGTCAAAAGCTGCCAGCAGTCCCCACAGCTGCCCACGCATGATCACTGCAGATATCTTCCTTTCACACACCCTTTCTGCTTCATCTTCTGGAATGCTGAGTATTTTGTCTGACTTCAATGAGAGTGTAAGGGAGTTTTATTTGAAAGGTGCCTGTGTGGGAAGAGTGAAGGATGACTTAATCCCCTCCAGGCAAGTAAAGAGTGAAAAAGAGAGAAAATGACTTATTTAACACCGAAAGTGACACCTGACATTGAATCTGGCTGAAAAAGCATAAGACAAAAGCACAGCAGAGAGCAAGTGAGATGAGACATACAAAGGAATGGAGAGAGAAAGCGAGCTGTTGTCCCACCTGTCTGCCCTAGGGATGGGCGAAAAACCGAGAGAAAGACCCATGTAAATGGGATGAGTGAAGGGGTCAGTGAAAGAGAGAGGGTGGACAAGAAAGATGTTAAAGGTACAGTTCACTTAAAAAAGAATATTCTGTCATCATTTACTCATCCATATGAGTTCCAAACCTATTTGATTTACTTTCTCCCATGGAACAACAGTGACTTGATCTTGTGTTATTTATTTATTTATTTTGGCTGTTCACAAACATGGTGAAAATCAGATTCAAGTGTGAACTTATCAGCACACTCCAAGTAGAATCTATCAGCACAATCTATGTAGAATTATGATCTAGAATGTCATAAGGTGCATGAATTCCGATATGACTTCAAACTGAAGTTGCATTGCAAAACTTCAGACCTACAGTATATCTTATTTCAGAATCGGAAACAAAAAGATCAGCTTCAGTGTGGTTTCTCACTCTCAGTGTGACAAGCAATTAGATCCATACACACACACACACACACACACACACACACACACACACACACACACACACAGGGACTCTGGAGTTGGTTTAATGCAAAACAACTGAAGTGCAGCCAGGGCATACAGAAAGGAAATTCTGTGCCAATTCTAAACGCATTATGATTGACAGCACTTAGACAGATTGTTTCACCGATAATGTGCTGATGCAGCTCACTGCGCTTTCAATTACACACACCTGCACGGATGTTCTTAATATTTAAGAACCAATCTGAATCTAAAATCTACAGAAACCAAAGTGAAACACTTTACATTTATACAATGTTATATGTAAAATAATCCCTCTGAATCTAAAAGAATCAAAATCGAATATAAATTGAATATAAATGTAAATAGAATATAGAACATAGACTCTGTGTACAGTATTGTGTAAAAAAGCATTCAGTATCAGAATTCTGAATCTTAACAGTAACAAATAAACATCCATAATAGAGATTCTGAATCTTAGTGAACCATTCTGGACCTGAATTCTGAATTTGGATTCTCAGTAGAAAGTATATGCTTAATGTAATGTCCAGACTAAATATGAAATCTGAATCTAAATATAAATCGAATATAGAACATATAATCGGTCTATGTGTAAAATTACTTGGAATATTAATTCTGAAAATAAAAGAACCACTTACAATATATATTCTGAATTTTAGTGAACCATTCTGAAACTGAATTTTCATAATATGCACAGGCTCCAAAAATATATATATATATATATTTTTAATCTTCAGACTATGATTCCATTAAGTCGGAGGATATCAAAATATGTTTGGTATTTTAAGCCTGTTTTAGAACAGATACTGTTTTCATTTGTCATGTGTAATGTTTCTCCTAGCAACGAGGTGCGTTTCTAAATGAGTTGGTATTGTTGTGATCCTCAGTCAGCTAGTGTATGATGCCCGGTTTTTCCTCTGTAACCATTTACAATGTTGTCAAGTGTGTGATGCCTAGTGTTTTAAAAATATTTGAAAAGATCATTTAGATTTTAAAAGTCGTCTAGTGTATTCCAGCCTAAAGTCGACCATTCTGAACCCAAATTTTGAATTTGAATTCTCAGTTGAAGTTGCATTTGAATATTCTCAATATAAATGAGCCGCTGTGAATCTGAATTCTAAATCTAAAGGATCCAAGCTGCATATGATTTCTGACTCTGCGCTATATATAGATGTGAATAGAAATGACTTCTGAAAATGAAAAACACTAAATCATAATTCTAAAAGAACCGCTTTGAATCTGGATTCTGAATCTAAGTGAACCACTCAAGCACACACTAGCTAATCGCATCTTGCTTCTCTTCGTTTGTTAGTATTCTGTTTGTTGTTGTTTGGTCTTATGTTTTTGTCATGATAATTTGGGTTTGCACTAGGGCTGCACGATAAATCGCATGTGATATTTAACGCGCATTTTATCAGTAAAGCCGGTTTTGTAATCGGCGGTAAATCTCCATCACGTGCGTGCTTTCACATTGAGCAGCATTAACTACACAGAGCCGTTGTTCAATGACGAGCTGCGCAAAACCACGTTCATATTTGCGAGATTTTACAGAGTTATTTTATTACCTTTGCTGGTATCTTATCTTTTTTCCTGCGACTGCTTTTGTGTTTATGTGCGTGTTGATGCTTTGGCAACAATCAAGCCAATAAATTACTATAAATTTGAAAAAGCAGAGAGAAGAACAGTCTGGAAGAGAAATGCTGTGGGAGTGGAAAGGGTGGGTTATAGAAGGACACAGGAAGGATAAAGGGATAATTGGGACTGGTAGCAGGAGAGGAAAAATAAAGGGATAAAGAACGAGAAGGCCATTGTGAAACACAGAGAAGAGGGCAGCTGATGGTACAGAGAACGCCCAATGCTAGAGAGAACTCCTAATGGACTAATAAATAGTGTGTAAATGAATCAGGCCTCTTTGAAAATATGAAATGAGGGGATGAAAATGAAAAGAGCAGGTGATGGTGATTGAAGGGCTGGAGTAGGATGAGAAGGCCATTGTTGTTTATCTGGGGATGTGCTTTATCGCTTAGCAGACCAGGAGCTGTGCCAAGTGTTTGGACTCTTCAAGGAATTGCCGAATCAGTTTTATGAGTAGAGTTATGTGGTTTATATGCACCGTGCTCCTACAGAGACTCAAACACACAAATACACACACACGGGATACATCTGCATCACAACACCCCCACCACCTACACACAATCCCGTTACGATAAGAAAAGCATCTGTCTTACAGAGACACATAAAGAGGCCAGGCACACTCATAGCAATGCATTGTTGGCTGACAGATTTAAGTGATTTAATGTGCCGTTATCAGCTGTTATGCTGTTAGTTCATGATCTATCGCCAGTCACAATTTTAGGAGATTCTATATTCTTTATCTCTCACCCCTCGCTCATTCTTATTCTTTATTGACATGACAAGGACTGTACATTGCTATTGCTAAAGCAGTAAGATAATTAAATTCTAAAGAAAAATAGCAAATAAAGAAAACATGTTTTTAAAACGACTAATAAAAGAGTAAAGTCTAAAATTAGAAACATTTAATTAATATAATTTTAAAAAATCGAACCAAAAAGAGAGCAGTGCTTGCAGCGTCGTTCTAAATGACTCTGGCTTCATTGGGTCACCACGCATTACTGACTCAGATGGGAATCTGTTCAAAACCCCAAAGCAGAAAGAATCTCCCCTGCCGTTTGTTTATTCTCTGTTTTTCCACCTGCCTGGCCATCAATATAGCTAGAAGCACCAAGCTGTTTCTGATGACATCAAGAGCAGAGAGCTGTCATAAATCAGTCCAGATGCAGTTTTCCGTGCGTGATTGTTTATTCGAAAAGAATGGTAATGCCACTCACCGGGCACATTGTTTGAATCCAAGACTCTGAGTGTGTTTGTGTGTGTGTTGCCTTCCATCCATCTGTCCAGTGACTCTGTCGCCCCCAGCATACGTGAGTCACATTAATGGAGGGTCTTAGTTGTTAGTCCACTTGCGGCATCAACTTGAATACCGCACCTGAGCACTGCTGCACCTGCCTCGCATATCAGATCCGCTCCTTCTGAACCAATCACACTAATGATATACCTGCTGAATAAAGAAGAAAAACACATAATTACTAATAATCGGCTCTGCCGGATTGCAACCTGCTTCTTTCAGGTCGAGAAATGCACAAATGAATAAGCATGCATATAATATAATATACTTTAATTTTAATAATATAATATGCAGAAATGTATATACTGTGTACTACTGTTCAGAAGTAATTATAATTTGTATTCAGCTTTAAATTAGCATTATATTAATCCAAAGTGACATTAAAGACATTTTAAAACGTTACAAAATATTTCTATTTCAAATAAAAGCTTTGTATCAAAAAAGTTGTACTTCTTTTCTGGATTTAAACAGTCCTGAAAAAAGTATATATTTTTTGATGTCACAGTTTCCATAAAAATATTAAGCAGCAGAACTGTCTTTAACCTTGATAAGAGATTTGAATGATGGATCATGATAATCTGAAGGATCATGTGACACTTAAGACTGGAGTAATTTCAGCTGACAATTCAGCTTTGCCATCACAGGAATAAATTACATTTTAAAATCTATTCAAATAGAAAACAGCTATTTTAAATGGTAATAATATTTCACAATGTTACTGTTTTTACTTTATTTTTAATAAGGTAAATGCAGCCTTGTTGAAGGTTTTCATAAATTAGTTTACAAAGTAATTTCACTGTTCACCAGTAATTTGAGAAACAGCATATAGGAGCAAAATTACAGACATTTAAATAAAACCGTAAAATAAAATTTTCATAAGTGACATCTGTGCTTCCCCACTCTTGACAAGCACCTGCCGCTATTTGCATCAAGGGAATTAGAAAGATAAAAGTTTGTGTATGAAAAAGTCTTGAACATGAACAAACTCAACCTGTCAGGTTTGAAACGCGCTATTGCAAATCTGAGCAAATGAAAAGAATTATCGCACACCTGTAATGCAACATTACACCTGTCAAGAGTTTCAGGCTCTCTAGAGACAGAAAAAAATGGTAGAGACAGAAAGAGGGAGAGTGCACAGGTTTATTTATAGTTAGTTTTAATGGCCTTTAGCTTAAACTGTAATTCTGCTATAAATCGCCTGTGGATGTTTTTGAAATTAAAATTTGAGCATATGTTTTAATTTGCTTCTGTTATTCTGCGCTTCTCATATTTTTCTCTTTCTGCTGTTGTATTAGCAAAGTGTACATATGTGAGAAAAACATTTCTTTTGCTAGAGTCAGTTTTTCACCTACACTCTTAAAACTAAAGGTGCTTCAAAAGGTTCTTCAAGCGATGCCATAGAAGAACCATTTTTGGTTCCACAAAGAACCATTCAGTCAAAGGTTCTTTAAAGAACCATCTCTTTCTTAACATTTTGTAATCTGAAGAACCTTCTTTCGCCACAAAGAACCTTTTGTGAAACAGAAAGGTTCTTCAGATGTTAAAGATTCTTTATGGATCCATTCAGACAAAAAGGTTCTTCTATGGCATCGTGAAGCACCTTTATTTTTAAGAGTGTACTTTCTGTATTTTTGCTAATTGCATTTTTCTCTAATTATTGAATGTGTTTTCTCTATGTGTGTGTGTGTGTGTGTGCAGGGAGACACTCTTGAGATGGTGGGAGAAACTGTCAGTGGGATGGCTAGATGCCCATATGACCCGAAACATGCCAACGTGGCCCTGTTTGCAGGTGAGACTCCACCATCGCCTTTTAAGTTTTTATTTTCCCTTGAACATGACTGCAAAATGTCCCTGCGTATTACAGCACTAAATAAAGATATACAGCATTGCGGAAAAGCTGATGTCCCTGTTGTTATTCTCTAACTTAATTACATGCTAGTCTTTGAACAATATTTATGGGTATCTCTCACTCTAATCATGCACATATGCTGTCCAGCATATTCTCTGCACAGCATTACGGCTTTACTGCTTCCTGCCGTGATGAACCTAAAGGAAATGAAATATTTTTTTAATATATGAAGATGCATTACACCAACGAAAGTATATTGAGATCATATTTTTAGTTCGTAAGGCAGTGCCGACCCGTTAGGGGAGGCAAAGAAACAAAGCAGCTAAAAATAACTGTTGTTTTAACCAATATACCAACTAATGTGTATAACTAAAGATGTATGAAAGTGAAAACACATACTTCTCTACACACAGGGTAGTAGATGTTAGATGGAAAAGGGGTCTTCATTCTGTTATAAATTATGATAAAATAATATAATATTTGTATATATATTTCATATATTATCTCTAATCATGATTGTAGAGAGAGATTTTATATTTTGGGTTTGTGTGCTTTTTTTCAGAGGGGAATCTTTACACTGCCACAGTGACTGATTTTCTGGCCATCGATGCTGTGATCTACAGGAGTCTGGGGGACAATCCTGCTCTGCGAACAGTGAAACATGACTCCAAATGGTTTCGAGGTAATAAAGACGTCAAATGTTAGTTGACAGGAAGAGGAAGCTGTGCAGAGTCAGCACGTGGATGTAATATTAATGCTGTTTGTGTATGTAAAATGTATGTAAGAGAGAGTTAAGTGTATTAATGTGTGCCATGTCCATTGTTAAAAAGCATTTGTTTACACTCACATGACTTCAGTGTTAGAAAACCTAGTGAGCTGCCTTTTTACATATGAACTAAACCTCATAAGTGACCATTTTGAACAAAAAATCATTATATATTATCCTGTGGGATAATTTTTATAATAACGGAAAGTACCAATACAAACAGATTAATGACATTTTTAAATAATTGTAAACATTTAGTATCTAAAATAAAAAAATATATATAAACATTTCTCTCACTTCATCCTCCACCTGGGAGTTATTTTTCACTGAGGTTGTCACAATGCATTCTGAGGTAGGTTTTTGAAATAGAGCATTAGTGTCAGGGTCGATAAGGCTTTCTGAGGATCCACATCTGAGTCAGCAGCCAACCTGATGTCAAACTGCACCCCCTCTTCCCATCTTCCTTTGCTCTTGCTGTCTGTGCTCTGATGTGATCTCTCACTGATGCAGCAGAAAGCACATCTGTGTCCTGACTCAAACTCTTGTGCTCTCTCTCTCCTGCTGTCCTGGGTCACTTCCTGTCCCAAAACGCCCTCACTTTTTCTTTCTTTTGGTTTGTGTGTCCATTGACTAGATAATGGCCCTATTGGAAAGTAGCCTCTAGTTCAACACTATAGTTCAGTCAGATCAGCTCTTCTGAAAATCATGTGATCTGAGGAAGTAGTAATGTGTCCCAAACAGGAAGTAATTATGGTTTGGTCCTGATCTGTCTGTTTCAGAGCCATACTTTGTGAATGCTGTGGAATGGGGGCCACATGTCTACTTCTTTTTCAGAGAGATGGCCATGGAGTTCAACTACCTGGAGAAGGTGAGAGGATGATAGAGCAGATGAAGACTTTTGCACAAGTCTCTTGATTCTCAGGTTTTCTTCATGAGGAAAAGACCCCAATATATGTCTCCTTTATAGAAGAGACATGTTCAGAAACAATGTCATTCTACACGTAGAAGGCAGCTTTATTCCTATTATGGGAATAGAGTTTCTTTATGGGCATATTTGGCTCTATGAAGAAACTTTCACATCCATGGAACTTTTTACTGCACAAAAGTTTCTAGGAAAAGATTCTTTGGGGAACCCACAATGGTGGTTCTATGCCTTTCTGTGTAAAACCCCTTCTGGAACCATTATTTTAAAGAGTGTATGAACTCAAAACCTTAAATTCTGTATATTTATATGTATCCGAAGGAATTTCATGTTTTAGTTTAGTTCCTCTTGCTTTCAACAGTAGCATGACACTAATAACACCAAGATCATGGGTTTGATTTCCTGGGAAATGATCAAATGTTTTCCTTGAATGGTATGTAAGTTACTTTGGATGAAAACATCTGCCAAATGGATGAATATAAATATAGAATTCCTGAGCTACGGACGAGACTATAGGAGTAAAATCTTCCTGTGGGAGATCAGTGGTGGATAGATCAGGAACAAGTGGTGGAAGTAATCTGAAATTGTGTTACCGTATGTCCAGTCTGGCAATATTATTCAAATGCCAATATTAATATTTCCAGTCAGACAGCGGTATGACCTATCCCCTGTTTTTGTGCTGAATGTTTAATTTAATAATCATGCCCTAGAATGCTGTATTGAGTGTAATTTAGGCACACAGAAGTTTTTTTTCTGTTGTTGTTTTTCAGGGCAACTGAAATACCATCCGTCATATCATTTACTGAAAACTGAGAAAAACACATCGACAGAATAACAAGGGTTCCTTTTATGTGAGAATTAGCAATGCAAGACTTCTGCAAGAACAGAATTGTGCTTGCGCAAGCATTTTATACTGCCGGACCTCGAGGAGAACAAAAAACCCACTGTGCTTTGAATTCGGCTCCTCTGAAATCGCTAGGCTAACCCGTTTTAGGGAATGCTGACATTTTCATGAATGAATTTATATTAGCTTACCCATTTTACACAGACTAGCTACTCTCCAAAATCTGCTTAAAATCCATGAGGATTAAAAGATTTGGGGCATTTTTGCGAAAGGATTCAGTACTGTTTGATACGTGTATTATCAAAATGCTTAAAATTCATAATTAATATCTCTGTTAAAGTCATTTTCTCTGACCTTAGGTGGTTGTGTCTCGTGTGGCACGTGTGTGCAAAGCCGATCAAGGCGGTTCACAGCGTGTGCTGGAAAAGCAGTGGACGTCGTTCCTGAAAGCTCGACTGAACTGCTCAATCCCAGGAGACTCGCACTTCTACTTCAACCTCCTGCATTCCACCAGTCCCATCATCCGCATGCATGGCAGGGATATCATCCTCGCCGTCTTCTCCACACCCTCCAACAGGTGGGTCACAATCTTTAAAAGCAAGCGCTGATGAATCCAGTTCTTGGCAGCAGTCGAGAAACAAGAAAAGAACCACCCACGATGCATATTGCACACAAAAATGGCTAGGACTGGCTGAAATCACTAGTTTCTCTCTGATTGGCTGGCTTCCAGTTTCCAGGAGTCAGGGTGCACTGGTTTTTATCACTCTTCTGCTGAGAAAAAGTTGCGTCTGCAAGCTTCCAGGCTTCTAGAGTGCGCTCTTCTGTAAAATAACAAGTTTGCAAGGAATCAATCTTTGAAAGATTTTGGTGGAAACACTTAATAGCACATAAACAAGATATTCATTAAACAAACATACACTACAATTCAGAATTTTAGAGGTCAGTAATATATATTTTTAAAGAAATTAATGCTTTTTATTCAGCAAGGATACATTAAATTGATCAAAAATGATAGTAAAGTCATTTTTATTATTATATAAACTATGAAATATAAATCAAAAAAATACTTTCTACTCATCACGTTTCATCACTGTTTGCACAAAATATTAAGCATCACAACTGTTTTCAGCATTGATAATAATAGGAAATGTTTCATGAGCACCAAATCAGCATATTAGAATGATTTGTGGATATGTGACACTGAAGACTGGAGTAATTGCTGCTGAAAATTCAGCGTTGCCATCACAGGAATATTTTACATGTTAAAATGGAAAACATTGGTTTTGATTTTTACTGTATTTTTGATTAATAATGTGCATAAGAGACTTTGTTCAAAAACATTAACAAATCCTACCAACCCCAAACTTTTGAACAAGAGTGTACATAGTCCACCCTGTTCTGCAAAAAACAACTGTTACATACTGTATAGATCAGGTGACTGCTTTCTGGCGAAGTGGGCATTACTTTGCCAAAATAAGCTGCAATGTAGACTTTTGCACTGCAAGTCTGGCTAAACAAGACTAACAAATACCAGATTCCAAGCAGACTGTGAATCTCTAGAGATAAACTCTCAAATATAGTGCATTAGCTGCCTCATTGATTGACAGTTGAGCTGGAAATATCACAGGCTGGTGGCAACGGCGGAACGCTGGGAAACCGGTACAATCGCTCTGGGTTTAGGTTGTCCTGTGGGATTATGGGTGAAAAACCACTGAATATAGAACACTGGTGTGACACTGCAGGGAATATTATTGCAGGTTTTAATGTCATGTAGAGAGGCGCTGCTAGAGAACGGGAGGGGAAGAGATGGAGATTGATGTATGGATGAGGAATGGAATTGATGTGGGTAGATGTACACATGCTGGCAGGCTGTCACCAAGATGTCACACTTAGAGGAAAGCAACAACAAAACACATATTTTTGGGATCAGGGAGCAAGTGCATGTTTTGACAGAGTTTGCAGGAAATAATTACAGGAAAGAATGTGAGAATACAAAAAGAGGGAGTGCTGTCAAGAGGATAGTAGTGAAGACGCTGAAAGCGAAAATGGTTCCTGTATGCACGTTGCTATCCGTGTGTGATTGAGGTCTGAGAGTGAAAGCTTAAAGGGACAGTTTACCCAAAAAAATGAAAATTGTAATTTACACACTCTCATGCTGTTATTTTCTCTGTGGAGCACAAACGGAGAATTGACTGTCAAGTGCCAAAAACACTAGGGATGCATTGATATAAAATTTCTGACATGATTAGCCAATAATTATTTTTTAAATTAGTCAATAAACGATAAATATTATATCAAAGGTTGTGTGTGGGCATGTACAAAAATATAAATTTATTTTTAAAAATAAATAAATAATTAATTAATTAAAAATTAATACTTTTATTCAGCAAGGATGCATTAAAGTGATCAAATTGATTGAATTGAATTAAAGTGATGAATTGATAGAAAGATATTTATAATGTTACAAAAGATTTCTCTTTCAAGTAAATGTTGTTCTTTTTAAGTTTCTATTCATTAAAGAATCCTGAAAAATTTATCTTGGGTTCCACAAAAATATTAAGTAGCACAACTCCTTTCATCATTAATAATAAATATGACATTATTATCATGCATATTATTATTATTATTATTATTATACTCAAAATCAGCCTATTTGAAGGATTTTTGAAGGATTATGTGACACTGAAGACTGGAATAATGGCTGCTTAAAATTCTGAATTCAATGCAAAGGAATTACACACACATATATATATATATATATATA